GTTTGTCACTATTCACTTTGTTTAACTGTAGTCCGATAGTGCGTGTGTAACGCAATGATTTGAGGTATCCTGCAAACTTTGAGCTGGTTGTGGTGCACACCTCACTAGAATCAAATCACTGCTATAAACGGCGGCGACAAGATAACAAAGCGCGTGGAAATGGTAGTGGTGTTTGCATTGTTCCTGAAAACAGACAGCTCATCTATCCAAGTATTCATGATAAAATCTTCGTCTCCATAAATAAAGTGGAGTATCCATGGAATGTAAAAAACATGTGTTGGATTAGCATTAAGATTAGAATCGAACTTTTCAGTAGCCGAGTCCGTACATAGATGGTCGGAAGAAGTACATGGGTGGTAGATGCGAGAGAACAAATTCAATAAAAGTTGTGTATGAAGCCACGCGGATAATATGAGAAAAGAAGTCGCGTAAAATAGAGCACTCAGAATGCAGTGAATGTCTAATAGAAGCATGCTTAGATTACTTTCACACTGATCGTACAATTTGTGATCTCAAACGCTCCATATACTTCACACTAAGATTGTATCTATGTCTTACATAAATCGATTTGTATGTATTGCACAAATCGTCGTACTGCGTGGTCTTGGTTACTTTCGAGTTTCTTCGTTTGATATGATAAGCATAAAAATGCTCTAGACAGTGCTGGAGATGTATGTATGTAGTGCATAAACTGGTCATTCTATGACGTACTACTTGACTCTTGATTGCTCGAAACTCTTTGCTTTGCTTGGTTTGATTCTCATAAGACTGTTTATCACTTATGGCCTCATTTGTAAATTGTTCACCGGTCCTGGTTTTTCTAAGGTTAACTGTTGTTGGCCGATGTTGATTGTATAAGTAGTTGCATGTTGAATAGATTTGTTGAACGACGCATCTTACAACATTAGTATAATTTGAAAATGTGAGTCAGTAAAAAGAGTCTTTTCTAAAGAACAATTCCTCAGAAAAATGTTTTGAAGAAACGGTGCCTTGGTGGTGTAGTGGTATCACGTGCCCCGTGGGATGGGTTAGACGCAGGTTCAACTCCCCTCTAAGGTCGAGATTTAACTTTACACTGAATCAACTTAGATACATATGAGACATCACAACGCTGAAAAAAAAGCAGTAATTTTCAAAAAACTCTATCTTTAGGTTGATGAATGTGAACTCAATCAACGTTTGCTCCGCTAACATATTGACTTCTTACATGTAAATTCTTTCCAGGTGTAGAGCATTGCAAAGGTTGTTTTTTCAAGTAATATTTTGATATGAAAGGCAATGAGATTGCGCAGTGTGTGCTGAAAGTGTGTTCTTTGCCCAAAAATGCAGCCTTCGAATTCAAAAAGGGAATTCTCAGACATGGGCACTCTTTAAGCTGAAAGTTTGTTCATTGTATAGATAATCGCTGAGATAAGCTTTCCATAAAATTAAAATTTCAGCTTTATATTTGACTGCTAAGGATGGAAAATGTTTTGAGGCGTTAGGTCTAATGGTATACAGGCGCCTGTTTCGTTCTATTGGACTCATCAGTAGCATCCTAACTCGGCTCAGCCGATCCCCTGAGACTAAATTATCCAAAATCCTAAATTCTAATTTCAAATAATCTGCGATTCATTCTCAGTGGTAGAGGTGATTGCGGATTAGTTAACGGTGCAAGGTGTGTGATGGAGTTCAACAACTGCAACAGAATTTCTGAGTTCACAGGCACCTCACATATGTGCGACTTACTTCGTTTGGAAGATGAGGTAGCTTATAAGAGATTTTTTTCAGATGGAAAATATTATTCCGCGTCCTAATCCTATCTCTTGAACTGACCCGAGTAGGTGTGCTTCGTAGCCAATGGGAATGCCTATTTGGTTTTGTTGCGTTTCTTAGCACAGATTTCCAAGCCTTTCCCCTACTCTCGACAAGAAGTTTTTATAAAGAGTAGTCACAATTATTGGATAGTATAAATCTCGAACTATCCGTATAAGTAAGCGTTTTTTTTTTCTTGAAAAAAACCTATCGTGCCGCTGAAAAATTCAAGACAAACTTCTCATTGGACAGAGCACTGATTTAGACTATTAGTAGTCAATCGATAACATAAGTTTCAGCCACACCAACACTGTGCTTATTTCCTCAAAGGACCATTCCTCTGCAGTGCAGTAGGGAAAAATAGGATTGAATTCGCATGCACGACCAAAGTGGTCTTTGGTCAACTCATGGGTCGCTGAGTGAGGCGGCAATGGGGATTGCTTAATTGTCGATTGATTTTCGACCGGTCTTATACCAGTGTGATCTTTGTTATTAAATTAGGAATTACTTTTCCGCATGAGAGAAAAACTCCAGATGAAACGTGACTATGCTACAAAATTTCAATTACTTTTATTCTGCCATGAATACGTATAAATGAATTGTCATTATTCACTTTGATAATATTTTGGAGGCAAGAACGCCCTAATTGCTTTTAGTAGTAACTCGTAGACATTCAGATACTGAGAGATATTCTTTATACGTTCATATGCTTAAAAATCGATCGAGGCAGCCCACCTTGCTGCCTCACCTAGCGGCGCGTGAATTGGCTAAGGACCACTTGCTCGCGCATGTGAATCAATCTTATTTTCCCTGTTATCTTGCAAAAAAAAAAAACGATCTTTTCTAGGTACTTGGAGTGTAAATTTTACGTTATTGAATGTTTACTAATACTCTAAAGAAGGAGCTCTATTCGGCGAGAATTATGCGCATGTGAAACATATTATTTGAGTTTTTCAGCGTTATAAATCTGCTTTTAAAAAGCCGGCCATGTATACGGATAGTTCGCGATTTATGCTTTTGAATGATTGCTAACATTCTTTATGAAAGCTTTTTCTTGAGCGTGAGGATAGGCTTGAAAATTTGTACTATCAAACGGAAATTAACCGGCCATTTTTTGGTGCCAATTTTATCGATCTCTCTCTCTCTCCCCTCTTCTTTTATGCACAATTTCTTATCCGCTCGGTACATATTTTTGAAAGCATTTCATTATATGTAAAGAGATGGGAGAAAAGGTAATGCACTCGAAAAGGTGCTCTCAAAATATAAGGTCAAGTTGTGGAAGCTGCTGCACTTTCATGCCTCTGCCATCAATTGTGCAACTAGTAGAATTGTATAACCTGCACAAACGGAAAAGAAAGGAAATGCATGAGTTCTGGCTTATTATATTCAAGACAAGTAGGACATATAGGAATGGTTACTTTAGCGAAACGAGAAGACTATTTTGTGTCCGCTATGAAAGCATCTAGGTGGTAATTTGAACAACTGACAATGTACACCTCCGGGTTCACATCGGGCACAAGTGCGCAATGGTAATGGCTTTGAAGTGGCTGTCACGATCCTGGCGTGGGAGTCGAGCATATCAACACGCAAAACTCGTGAAGCATATAGATTAGAGCTAAAATTTCACAAATTAACCGAAAGGATGAATGTGTTACTATCACGTGATAGATGGTAGCTCTTTTCATGTCATCTTCTGACCTGATTTGGGCAGTAAATGCATATATTACTTATTAATACCGATTTGTAGGGAAAGTCTATCTTAATAACTAATTTTTGCAAATGTTTCTCAACAAGTCACCAACTCCGAATTTGAAAGTTGGCTAATGCGATACTCTGAATTCTTCGTGAAAAAAGTCGGGTATGTTTGCACTCATCAAAGTAAGGTGGTTAGTAATTTTAAAAGCTCGTCAGCAGTACATTGTACTTTTTTTTATTGCTAGTGACCCATTGGTTAGGTCATAAGAGTTGCTGGTGAGTGAAAACACATCGAATTTTCGAATATTTTACTAGATAAAAAGTGATATCCATTCAACTAGGATAATTTCTCAGTATGATGCTTTTGTTTTCATCAATGTGGTTTTCCCATCGACATCACGCTGGAAAATCCTGTCCTCCTGAATGAATGCAGATAATCGTTTTCTGATAGACACTTATATCTTAGATCTTAAAAAAAATCTCAGATCGTGTCATTGGTTTGTAACGCAATTTATGCTACATTCTGAACTTTTCAAGCAAACATTTCTTGTAACAAAGGCCTGCCAATGTCGCGCAGCTCGATGAAGACGAATGCATTAAACGGTAAAGCTGTATGAGGTGATCACAAGAGCGACAGCTTCTAATGTGCGAATTTGGATCTTGTATCCATGCTGTTCAGATAATTACAATCAACTCAACCTTGACACATCTTGCATAAAACTCGCGAATTTTCGTCTCATATGGAAAGTTCGTGATTCTGAGTATGCTCGTTGGAAGGTCTCCACTACCTCAAACATTAAGAATACACTCAGAGTAAAGTATTCGAAACAGTGCAAAATAAACAACGAAAAACGACGGTCCCACATACTTCTATCATGTCAGCCCTAATCTCCGGATTATTTGCAAAAAGTCTAGTAGCTATAAAGTTTCGAAGCGATTCAGGGCAACAACTTGGCAACTGCACACACTCCCCATTTGTCACCTAAAAAGAGCAAAAAGCAAAATGTCATCTGTAGACATCTGCAGTAGTATCACTACTATTCTGATTCTTTGAAGAAACTAATGCCTTTCACAGCTAGTGAACTAAATTACAGATCATTATATGGCTCAAGATATTAATATGTCTTGTGAACAGTTTAAATACAGTATTTGCAATAAATCTGAACTTACAGCAGCTTTCACTTCTCCGTTAGTTTTTCCTTTCCATGGTTCATCTCCATCGGAAAATATCTCATATACCATAACACCAAAGCTGAACACATCACTTTTCAACGAAAATGTCAACGTTGATATTACTTCCGGTGCAAGCCATTTAATTGGGAGTCTCGTCCTCGTGCGTATCACGTAGGTAGTGCCAATAAGAGAGAGACCAAAGTCGCCAACTTTTACCTAAATCAACATATTGATCAATAAAAAGGTAGAAGCTGTCGCTATCTCAGAAACATAATTCTCACACGTGAGCATATCTCAAGATAATTATGCAAGTTATTTGCTGCAACATCCCTAGCGCAGTTTGAATGTGGTCCGTGCAACAAAACCTCCTTTGGAATCCTGCTTGTGCAACTTGCTGTGTCTCATACAAAGTCTTCAATTTACGCAAGAGGATAATCGTTGTGTAATGCTTTTAGAGCACAATTCACAAGCATATTGGACGGTATTTGAGAAAATTCTTTTTTCTCATCTTTCTTGATTAAGGTAATTGTGCCAAGTCTTTTACTTGTCTGAGATCTTTTGTTGTAAAGTTATGATGTCATATGGATTGCGTGGAACATGTAGATTGTGGCCACCAGCTCTTGGTAGCAATGTCATTAGATCATGGAGCTGTGCCTCTCCTAATGCTTTGAATCGCAACTGTAACCTCAGAAGCTGGAGCGTCGATAGTTCTTTACCAGCGAGAAAACCGAAATATGAGAGTGTCATTGTAGATCAGCAAAGTTTAGTATAAAATGTTTCAGTCAGAGCTGGCATATCATGGCGACTTCAGTTATGGCACTAACTTTATTCATCGAGCGGATAGCGGAACTAAGCATATGCAAAGATCTAGGCGGCATTTCTTCAGACTAGATCTTCTTTGAAATGCCTCTCACAAATTTGATTTTGCCAAAGTCGATATGAATTTTTCTGTAAGGATCATCTACAGATGCCATTCATTATCATTCCAGTTTGGAGTGTTGTGAAAAAATGAAATTTGAAGAGCTGCTTGGTGTTACTGGAGGTGCGACCTGAGTTTTTCTCAGTGATATTGATGCTATTTCGACACATGTTTTGAATCAACTGACGAGCAGCTCGTAGATCCTCGGGTCCTTCTTTGTTTGCCTTGAATGTGAAAAGATTTCATTAAGATATTTCTTGCCGGACACAACATAATTTGCTTTTCGGACGATGACAGCTTTTCTTTTCCAGTTTATGGCTAAATCGCATTTTTGAGAGTGTGTGAGCAATCTACGTATGAGTCGTAAGCCGAAGCACTTTCATGTCCATCGGTAATTTTTTCTCTTTCCGAAAAATGAGATTCCATAGTAGTGACGTGGCGCGGGCAGAAGTTTTACATGACAGTATCCGCTCTCATT